AGAAGGTGTGCCCCCCGAGTAGATTGGCTGGAGCTGAATAAGGGACATCACAGGTGTTTCATGTGAAGCTGATTATAGTCTTCCTGATTGAATTTATGCTTAAGCTTCATTTATCTATTACTTAAGAACAACGTTTGTTTATTGGGTGTTCAACTGTCATTAATACATATTCTGCGACCTCATGCCTTATGTTAAAAGGCATGAGGTCTTTTTAGGTGGTGCTGGATTTTTTTTGGTGTGCACAGTGCTTCGATGTGCATCAATGTGCATTTTTCCACCATTTACTAGTATGATACCCACACTTTGGCACTTTCACAGCCCTAAAGAATCCAAGTGAGTTCCACAGAGTTTATAGAAGACTGTTTCAAAACGTTTATCAACTGAACAAAACTAAAAGGGGAGCTGCTAGGATCTGTGGCATGTGGCGACTGCAGGTGGTGGGCGTGGCACCGCCCAATCACAGACACTCTGTTGTGGGAGAAACACAGGTAAGTGAGCACGATCACCTGACAGAAGATGATTATCTGAGATGGTCACTTACCTGGTTTAACAGTCCAGTCTAAGAATGTCCCCAGTGCTGCAGCTCCAGAGGTCTTGCAGGAAGCCGATCCTGGTCAGGGATTCAGAACAGACAGGAACAGACAGAACAGGCAGGATCCAGGCTTCCAGGCATCCTAGAGCTCCCAGGCGGGTTCAGAGTCTGACAGGGTCCGGAGGCGTGATCAGGTGGTCACGCACAGGAGCAGACAGGATCAGGTGCAGACGGACAGGCTCAGTGGCAGAGGGTAGCATAGACAGGACGTGGAACCAGAACTTGATGCAGGTCTCTTCCTTGAAGCCAGGCTTACTAGGATAAAAACTGAACCTCCCCACATATAGAGCCAAAAACCCTGAAGACTCAGCAGGGGAGGAACAGTGGACAGGAGATGAGACAGACACAAAACCCTCTTTCCACTGGCCGCCAGGATCCAGGACATGAACCTTGGAACAAAACTGAACAGACAGGCTGACAGAAAACAAATACTGTATTTTCACGACCATAAGGCGCACCGTACTAAAAGGCGCAGTCTCAGTTATGTGTGCCATTACTGTATTTAACACACACATAAGGCGCACCGGACTATAGGGCGCGGGTTTTATATACCGGTACATGTCCTCTACTACATTTAAATACCTCTTCTGCGTATTTAAAAATAGAGTGGGAGCAAAACTGAGTATGTTTGTGCTTTATTCATGTATTTATTACAAAGTATTTATCAGACCTGGGAGCTGGCCGTGAGGCAGACACATCGCTGATGACACAGAGCGCTGTGATCACTCCTCTGAAACAGTTTATTGGCGCATAAATTAACTTAAAATGCAGAAATCTGCCGGCAGAATATGTTCGCTTTTATTATCCTGGTGCCTGCAGTTTAGATTATTTAGATGAAAAACACCTACCAGCTGCCGCGGTGAACCGTGAGGAGGCGACCACTCAGACCCCCACGGCTGGTACATGGGGGTCTGAGCGGCTCCGACAGAAATTATATTGGAAGGCAGGATCGTAATCTGGATGAACTGACTGCACTGATTAAGTTTTCAGGTGGACTTTCTCACTTAAAAACATATTAAAACTACTTTATTCCCACTGATCACAGCAAATATAGCTGCAAGGCAAAGAAATCACTTTTTCTAGTATGCTTTTGTACCGTCGGTCTGGAATTTTGAAGGGAAGCACAGCAGTTTCCCACCAAAGTGCAACGGAGAGCCAATTCGAGGAACTCGCGAGAACTTCGGCGGATGGAGGATATTTATTAGGCCCTCTTGTTACTGACAAGAGGGCCTAATAAATATCCTTTTTTCATCAACTGTGCATCTCAGACATCTCTTGTCAAGTAATGTATTTCATTACACGACTTTTGCAATGATAGCACAAATACGGCAAATGTAGCACCAAATGTACACCCCAGACACCTTTGAAGAAAAAACAATGAGTATAACCATGGCCGTACATGCAATATTATAGAGAAATGAATTTTGTTTTTTTAATGCCTGGAGAGAATCTGGAAAATGTATAGCAAATTGTTTTTGCAGTGAAGAAGAACTGACTGGAGCTGGAATAACTGCAGGGAGGAGGACAAGTTTGGTGGCAGAGAATAACTCATGTATATGTTAAAAAAGCCATGAATGAAAGCCTCACAGAGCATCTCTGAAGATCTTAAGTCCAGGCTTGGGTCATACATGGTTGATGGCTTGGATCATACATAGTTGCAGGAGAGAAAAAAAAGACTTGTTCCAGATTTTACACTGCAAAAACAATCCAGAAATAAGTAAAAAAATTCTTAAATTAAATATTTTTACCCTTAATTTGAGCAGGTAAATAAGATGATCTGCCAATGGAATGAGTATTTTTACTCTTAAAATAAGATAGTTAGATAATATTTACTTGAAATAAGACAATAAAATTGTTTTTTCTTATTTTAAAAGGAAATTGTCTTGTTCCATTGGCAAAGTGTCTTACTTATCTCCTCAATTCAAGGAAAAACGCACTTATTTTAAGAAAAAATAACTTATTGAGATTTCTATTTTTTGCAGTGTAGAAGCTAACATGAGAAAACAGGAACGGGACATTTCGATATCAGGAGGTCAAAACAAGAAGGTCCTGGTTGTTATCCATAAGGAGAGTGAGGCAAAAATAGAACTTCTCCCAGGTGCAACAACATCTTGAAATTGGAGTTGGCGCAGGTGTAACCACTCAGACCTGTTTGGCAGTGAAGCAGAAGAAGCAGGAGTGCATTATGGGACTGCACACAGCAGCTTGACAGGCAGGAACGGACAAGAATCATTACAATTAAAAGCAGTTATTAAAGGAAAATACTGCCTTTATAACATTTTTTAAAACTGATGCATGGACTAAGCCCATGCCAGATGGCAGCTAGCATATTTGTCTGAAATATATTTGCTCAACCTGCCCCCAAAAATATAATCCATTAGAATGGAAAAATACTGCCGTAGACATTCAGTTAACATCTAGTGGGCTGACAAATGTGTCAGTTTCCCACGCAAAGAAAAACATGGTATTTTTTACGTTAAGATAAAGATTTGCCTTTTCACTTTAACTGTTAGCCATCAGCCACAGTCTTTTAACTAACACCCACAATGTATCTGCTAGATATGCAGTAATCTTGTATTCACTATACACCATTCCGGTAAAATAAAAATTCCAGCTATTGTGTAGTTTTCGTTTTTAGAACTGAAGTGCATTGGCATTCAACTCCCGTCTGTTAAAAAGTTAATTGAGGAATAGGATAGCAACAGAGACAGGGACAAACACTAGATGAAATGGTGCCACCAGACAAAAGCATGGTGCATTGTTGAATCATATGCTATAAAAACAACACTGGTTTTGTTTTAATAATTCCCTTATTTACTAATTCAACTTTTTGATTGTAATGAATAAATGATCCAATGTGTAATTCTATCCATTTGTCATTGATTGCCATGGGTAAGAAAGTAAAAAAAAAAAAAAAACATCTTTATTTGGCTCGAAAAAATGACATTTGCAGAGTTGCTCCACTTTCACAGGCTGGTGCTGAATGTCTCTCAGCATCTCCCAGAGCAGCAGCCACTTAAAAGTAATTAAAATGATGAATAAAAAGATATTTAATAGACAAATAATGTCTCTACATTTCATCAGTTAAAAAAAATTCTCTAATGTATTGCATCATGGTTGCAAACTGGAAAAGAAAAATCATCAGGCTACTATGAGTGAGTTTGAGGCCAGCAGACTGTCAAAATTATTGTGGTTTTCTCTGAACCCTTGTCTTCTCTTACTTTATCAAGGAGGGTGGGCTGCTCTGGTAGGGGAGTTCTGTGATTAATTTGGAGTGGGTTGTTTCCAGTTAAAGGGACAAAGGTGACTTAGGTGGCAATTATATCTTATATTATTGGTCATAATCTTTCCACCATTTGCTCGACCTACAAGCATGGTCAGATTAAAAGAAGCAGGATAGCCCAGTACATGTTTCAATTTTTAAATCATGCATTTTAAGACTAACAAGCACAGACCATTTCCGCATCTCACCAAGGACCTTTATAGATTACTAGACCAACTTAAGAATAACCTACAAAACACTGTTAAAATGATTTCTGTTTATTACTCATTATGATTCAGCTTTTTGCATTCAGATGCTCCATCATACACATAATAAGTGGGCCAATAATTTATACAGGGGATGGGAAAAACCCATAACACTTAGGTTTTAGCAAACATTACATTAACCTCAAATGTTCTCCTCCTAAGCCCCTCAAACATCCCCCAGCAGCAGCATATTCACACACAGCGGTACTTTCTCTCTCAGCCCACAGAGAGCAAACTTTTTTTTCACTCTTTTTTTTATAAGTTCACACATCATGGTGTTCGAGCACCGACTGATGGAAATAGACTTACTACAAGGCTCCATCTGGTTTGCCCCCGAGGCCAATGTGTCAAACCGTTGATGAGAAGTGGAAAGTGATGGTCATTCTTGTGGGCTAAAATAGTTTGAATTACATGAACAGTGATTAATATGTAAAAATAATTTATATATATAAATATAAAAAAAAAAAGAATTATAATACAAAACTGCTGGAATCTTCACCTCACCAGCTTCTTGAAAATAGATTACGTTTTTTCAAAAAACGTTTTTAACTTTGGGGTCTCTTATTACATATATATATTTTTGAATAATATAAACTTTGTTTTAAGTTCCTCCTCTGTTATAATAAACCTGTTTCACTGGTTCATGCATAACGCCGAGCTCATTGTCTTGTCTGGTTAAAAAAAATATATATTTCCTGACTTTACTATTTCAACTATTTCCTGTTCTTATCATTGATCATTGTGAGGTCTGTGGTATAACAGAGATGAAACACATAACATCATGAGCAAAATGGGTTGAAAAAGCAGCTGCAGCATTATGTGACTATTAATTCTCTGAACTCAAAGCTAATGATTACCAATGATTGATTTTAGGCCATTATACTGTGATCATCTTTATTTGCATATTAATCCATGGCCAGTCATGGAGAGATTAATGTTTAGATGATTGTCATGAGTCACAAAAAAACAAAAAAATAATTAAGTCAGATTCAAAAGATGTTTAAATTCTGACAGAATGTGACAACAAGTAGATACTTATTGGAACCAAACAGCAAAGAAAATGGGGTAAAATCTTTGTTTCAACAGAGGAATCAGTGTGACGAATCTTCCTGATGCTTCTTTAGACTAGTATGTCTTTGCCACCAGTTCTTTCCATCCAAGTAGGCCATGCTGGTCTTTGTCCATACCTTGCTGGGATTAACACAGATTCTCTTGCCTTTGATTGTGGTAAATCTTTTAAAAATGAAAGAAAAACACATATTTTACTATATTTTGTATTTTCTCTTTAATTACATTAAGTTTAAATACACTACATGACAAAATAAGATGACTATTAATATATACTACAATAAGACTATGATCAATACCCTAGGGATCGTTTTCTGACTTACATCACTGCGGGTTGGGTACATAACGATGAATCCTGTATGTAGTAACTCTTCAGTGAACCTCGATGAAACCTAGTTCTGGAGTATTGCAGACAGCATTTTGGGATAGCTTTAAATAAAAACACAGTTCTTTTAATTTTTACAACCTTAGTGAATAACAAGCCAGATTCATTCATTTAAACTCAAATATTTATCTTACCTTGAGCTGAAAAAGTGGGCAATACTAAGAATATTACTAAAAGCAGAAGGAAGTTGAGACTCATCATGTAAAGCAAAGATTTACAGTCTTTAAATTTGAGCCAAATTAAGAGGAGTAACTTAGTTTTTTCATGTATTCCTATGGAATGCAGTTTAAGTTTCTGCACCACAAATATACAGTAGGAAAAGAGGAAGTGCAACACAACCTACCACAGAAGCATCATGACCAGATCCTCCTTCCACTATTTTTCATTTCCCATAAATGGATCTCCAACAATAAATAAAGCTATTTTTAAAATTCTTTACCTCTCAGAAATTCTTTCTAGATGTTTGTTTCACTTTGTAATGTTTCAACCATAAAATTCAAAATATTTTGATTCTCATTTGGTCTATGTTGAGATATCAACAAGAGGTTGCAAAGAGGTGGAAAAGAAAGGACACATGGTATCAAAAATATTGATTCCTCATTGATTTCCAGTAACAAATCCAATGAATCCAATTGACTTTAGTGGTCAACACATTATGCTATTTAAACTTGGTGTGGATGCAGATATTCACCACTCTGGGGTGTTAGAGAACAATATATTCAGAGAGTCAAAAGTACTGAGTCTGACTCATACAGAGCCTATACAGAGGGTCAAAGATCTGGTAAAGTGAAAAAAATCCAGCAGTGCTTGAAGTACTGGGAAATTTTATCAACTTTATTAGCTTTCCAACACGTTTTGGGTTGTGGTCTTGCCCTGCAAACAGAGTTGTTTTCCAGCACTTTAAGAGTTGCTGAGAATTTAACTTCACCAGACTATGTGTTGACAAAACACATATTAGTTCTGCATTCCACAAATGTGGCCTTTATAGAAAAGCAAAACAAATGTTTGGATAAAGAGGTCATATAAACATGCGGTGAAGACCGAGTGAGACCATACTGTTACTTAGATGCAACAGTCTATGTGTGAAAAAAATGCATAGTGCACAAAACTCTAAAAACACCTTCCTCATAGTGAAACGTGTGGGTTGCAGTATCAAAACGTGAAAATGTGTTTCTTCTTTAAGAAGAATGGATATGAATATGGTGAATTTAAAGATTGATACATGTAAATACAGGGTATAACTTTAATAAACCTCTAAAGAAGCAGCCAAAGTTCTGAAACTAAGGCAAAGGCTCACCTTAAGGCGGGAAAGACTTTTTAGAAATAAAGCCATGCATAGAATGGAATAATTTATATAAAATCTAAATTGTGTGTTAGAATCTCTCTTTAAAAGTTCAGACCAAAATGCAAAAGGCAATCTGTGCTTAAATAGACTGTCAAATCTGTGGTTGATCTACTTTACAAAATGACTAAGCAAAAAGTTTGCTCCAACGTCATTTTAGATTTTTATCTGTAAAGAACTGAAACAATGTATTTTTTCCACTTATTAATTATGTTCCTCTGTTTCTATTAGATGAAACTTCAATCATGTAGATGTGAAAACGTATACTAGTAATAAGAGTTTTGTATTGTGATTGGAAGACAGCTGTGCAACAATTCAAATTGTATTTTGTGTTCCAGAGCTTCAGCTTTAGCTTCTGTTTAAGGGCTTCTTCTGTGCTAAGTTGCAGTTGTGGATTAAGGAATAAGCAAAGGAATCCAATCAGATTTGAGTGTATTTAGCCATTTGATTCAGGTATGTGGAATCATATTTTGCTCCATCCTCTGTCACTAATATACTCGATCACTATATCTTATAGACAAATGAGGGGAGCTGTGCATCATGCTGCATCCCAACAGAGTTCATACGAAATACAGAAAAAGCTTCTGTTTATGTCGGAAAAGAGGATGCAAGGATGCAGGAGTCTGCATGAATAAGGGGTTAAGGGCTGGTTATACTCCCGCAGAAGTGTGTCACAGTGCGCTTGTCGCAGATATTTTTGATTTATGCCCAAAATTGAAACGTGGTCTGCGCTATGTCATTCCACGCCACAACGCAAGAGGGACAATCATGAACTAGCTGTGGTTCTAGATACGGCTGAGGCGGTGAGGAAGTGGGGGCAAGTTTTTGCAACAACGGAGGGACATGAGGGCAAAAAAGAGCAGGGATCCAGATGGAAAAAGGGTCCCGGCGTTCTCGCCTACCTTTCTCTTCTCTTCTATGCCGGTCATACAAACAAAGGTATCAAACAGGTAATACGCATGGTGTAGAGTGGATAAAGATTTGACCAATCAGAAGCCTCCTGTCTGTGGCACTGTCTGCGGTCACCTACAAGTTTGGAGAGGTGCAGCAGAGTGTCTTGTAAGGGGCGGGGGCACATTTACATTCACTGCCACACACATGCAGACGACCTGGTTTCTGAGTATAAATTAGCCTTTAGCCAGAACCAACCCATGGTCTAAACCAGAGGTCATGGATTAGCAGACCAGGGTCAATTTATTGCCATTCAAACCCAGGTTTAAAGCCTTGCAGGTCAGCCTAAAGCCCACTGCTCTCATTAAGCCATAAAAAAAGAAAGAGAAAAAAAAACGGTCAGTTCAGGTGTTTTATAAAGAAAACAATTTAGATTTTAAAATGGAAATATGTTTTATTTTTCTTATATTTTTTGTTCAAAAATTCAATGTATAACATGGATAAATAAACACCTGCATCTTATTTCAGTGTTAAATGTTGATTAAAGTAACGTATTAAAATTAAAAATGTCTCCGGACCTTTACTGGTTGTTGATTTTCTTTATTCGGACCCCATGATTTTTAATTGGTTACCCCTGGTCTAAACCATCTGCTAAGATCCCAGAGGAAATATCTTTTTGTCTTGCATCTCTGGATAAAGGTATGCAGTTTGAGGAGTGGCTTTGAGATTTCAGAAATAACACCAATAAAAATCCATTTGTGGTGATTTTCCTTTTGTTTAAAAAGATATAGTGGGCACTTGTAGATATTTTTATAAATTTACCAAAGGAGTGACCAATGGCTTTGTGTACTACAGTGCACCACAGACCTTGTAAAGCAGTTTCTGTGCTGGAAGGATTGTGTAGTGGGTTTCTTACGCAAAACTGTCTGGTGAACCAACTGGTTTACCACATTTAAGTCACTAAATCTACAAGAAATAAGTGCTTCACAAATTCATACTTAGTTCTTTTTTGGTTTTGGTAGCATATTTTTCATAAATCTTTGTGAGGAAAAAAATGCTTAACATACATTGTAATTGCTATTAGATGCATAAGGTTAAGCTGTCTATGTTTTCTCCTTTTCTTTTGTTTGTTTTATTGAACGTCCCTTTCCTTGGCTATGACTGACTGACTGTCAAGCTAACTTAAGGACACTGAGACTTTCATAGACATGTATAGAGGTTTTGAATATTAGGGTAATTGTGTAATGTTGATCATATTTAGATTTTAATATTTCACCATTGTACCATTTCTTTTTTTGTGAAGTAAAATATCTTAAGCAACAAACTTTGTTTCTATTTTTTCTATTTTATGTGTGCTATATTTGTTCCTAGTATACAGATTAATGATGATAAGTTTTGCTCTTTTCAGAGAGCCAGCTCTTTTGGCTCAGGTCTCAAAGAACAGCCGACTCTATCTGTGTACTTCTAAACGCCTCTCTATTTATTATTATCTATGGTCTCTTGCCAAGGTTGGAAATAGTAAATGTTTTGAATCTTAATAATTCATTTTGCATTTAATGTTTCTTCAGAAGCCTTATAGTTGCCTTATTTTATGTAATTGTTCTTTTACAAAATGAATTCTTACTTTTTGTAATATCTCACTCAATTCAATTCAGTTATTATATAGCGCCAATTCACAACACGTCATCTCAAGGCAAGGTACTCAAAGTTCTGACTACAATTTAACGCAAAAACCAACAAAGCAATCCCTGTTAACAAATCCACTGAACTGAGCTATAACTGAAACAGAAGCAACTGATACTCTTCTATACTTGAACCTGAGTTGGTGTAGTTACATTTGGCTGTCAGGGTCTGTTTTATAAATTTGGGCTATCCTTTTTGGCTCTATTTACTTTTACTTACCTTTTTGGGCAACATAAACCTGATATATGAATAAGATCTCAGTATCTCTGTCATACCTAGAAGGACCAGAGTGGGACTAATTTTTAGCTACAGGGTTTCACACCTGAAACAGTTAAGATAATGGCCAACTATATAAAAAAAAAAAGTAGGCTTTCTTGTAACCTTCAGGTTAAGTCTTCTATATCACATTGTTCTTTATAGGCTTTTAATTGCGTGTATTTTTCTAAAATTACTTCAATACCATAGAATAGGATATGATAAGATTGTTTTACAATGCATATTCTTTTAAATATTAGTGCAAATTCCCAACATTATTCTTCAGAACATATCCTTTAAAATATCAGAATCAGCATTCTGTTCAAATAATTGTTTTAAAGATAACCAAATCTTAAAATGGAATTAAAACAACCAATAATATTTATATTGTGCACATTCGAAATGGAAAACACATTTGAACTTAAAGGAATAGTACACCCAAAACATGATTAGCCTTCATTTTCTACTCACCTCCATGCTGAACAACACTCTGGAGTACTTTTTTGATATCTCAAATGCATCTGGAGATCTGGGAGGCTTCTTGCTGTCTGCTGACATTCAAATAATGGAGGTCCATGGCGCCCGAGACAGAAAGGTCCATAAAAGTCCACAAAAACGTGTCAATATTCCTCCATACTGCTCGTCCAATGTAATCCAAGTGTCCTGAGTGGGTAGCATCCAGAATTTACTCGAAACGAAGTCATTTAGAATGTTTTTAGAGCATAAACAGTAGTGTATAGGATTTCCTAATAGCGCCCCCATGCGCGCTCACGATTCTACGGAAGCCGGCAGACCAAACCGGAAGAAAGTGCGCATTCAGCGTCTGGTCTGCCGATAATGCAAGCGTAGAAGAATAAATGTGCTGTTTACCTGTGCAAAGAAAGAAACAACGAAAGAAAAATGTCTGAGGACTTCAGTGTTGAGGAAGAGCATGAGTTCTTTGCCGAGCTGAATGCGCTGGTTTGGTCTGCCGGCTTCCGTAGAATCGCGAGCGCGCATGGGGGCGCTATTAGGTAATCCTATACACTACTGTTTATGCTCTAAAAACATTCTAAATGACTTCGTTTCGAGTAAATTCTGGATGCTACCCACTCAGGACACTTGGA